ACTAGTAATAAAAATAATAGGAATAATGAAGAGTGGATTGGCCAGAGGGCTGGATGAAAAAGGATCAAAATAGATGGAATCAAACTAGTAATAAAATAATAGGAATAATGAAGACTAGAGGGTTGGGAAAAAGCATCAAAATAAGATGGAATGAAACTAGAATAAATCCAGGTGAATGAATGATGGATCTGGCCAGAGGGTTGGGACAAAAAGCATCAATAATAAGATGGAATCAAACTAGGTAATAAAATAATAGGAATAAAAAGAGGATCTGGCCAGAGGTTGATCGCCTGATCAATAATAAGATGGAATGAAACTAGTAATGGAATAATGAAGATTGAGGGTTGGGATGAAAAGCATCAATAATAAGATGGAATGAAACTAGTAATAAAATAATAGGAATAATGAAGAGTGGATCTGGACAGAGGATTGGGATAAAAAGCATCAATAATAAGATGGAATGAAACTAGTAATAAAATAATAGGAATAATGAAGAAGGGTTGGGAAAAAGCATCAACAATAAGATGGAAAGTAATAAAATAATGGAATAATGGAGTGCTGGAGATCTGGCCAGAGGGTTGGGATAAAAAGGATCAATAATAAGATGGAATCAAACTAGTAATTAAAAGGCTAATAGGAATAATGAAGAGTATCTGGCTCCAGAGGTTGGGATAAAAAGCATCAAGAATCTGGAATGAAACCAGTAATAAAATAATAGGAATTGAAGAGTGGATTCAAGAGGGTTGGGAGCATCAATAATAAGATGGAATCAAACTAGTAATAAAATAATAGGAATAATGAAGAGTGGATCTGGCCAGAGGGTTGGGATAAAAATCAATCCCACGTAAACATGGAATGAAACTAGTAATAAAAATAATAGGAATAATGAAGAATCGCCTTGTTCAGAGGGTTGGGGAAAAGACTAGTAAAGATGAATGAAACTAGTAATAAAATAAAAGGAATAATGAAGAGTGGATCTGGACAGAGGGTTGGGATAAAAAGCATCAATAATAAGATGGAATGAAACTAGTAATAAAATAAAAGGAATAATTTTAGAATAGTGGATTCTGGCCAGAGGGTTGGGAGCTAAAAAGCATCAATAATAAGAAGATGGATCCCAGGAAGGTGGATTGCAAGAGGGTTGACAAAAGCTCCAGCCGCTGTTAATAAAATGGATCTGGCCAGAGGGTTGGGACAAATGGAAAGCATCAACAATAAAGTCTGGACGCCATCCCTTAGCTGCTGGAATAATGAAGTAAGATCTTTGCCAGAGGGTATGAAAAGGGATAAACAGTAAAAAAATAATTAATAAGATGGCCAGAGGGTTGGGAAATCAATAATAAGATGGAATGAAACTAGTAATAAAATAATAGGAATAATGAAGGGGATTCCAGAGGGGGGATAATGAAACAAATAAAAATAATAGGAATAATCTGTCCATGCTGCATCAATAATAAGATGCCTAAATAAAATAATAGGAATAATGAAGAGTGGATCTTTGTAAAAAAAGCAAATGAGATCGAATGAAACAGTAATAAAAATAACAGAATAATGAAGAGGATCTCTTTCCGATGAAAAAAGCATCAATAAAAAGATGAATGAAACTAGTAATAAAAATAATAGAATAATGAAATGTTGGTCTGGCCAATGTTGACAAAAAAATATCAATTATAAGGCTTTTAAAAGCCCAGACAATAATTAGAATAATGAAGAATCTGGCCAGAGGTTGGGACAAAAAGCATTAAGATGGAATGAAACTAGTAATAAAATAATAGGAATAATGAAGAGGATCTGGCCAAGGGTATTAAAAGCATCAATAATAAGATGGAATGAAACTTTCTTAATAGGAATTTTCAACCCAAAAGAACAGGGTTAATAAGATGGAAGAAGTATCAATAATAAGATGGAATCAAACTATTTAAGATGGAAATGACATAAAAATAATAGGAATAATGAAGAGTGGATCTGGCCAGAGGTTGGGATAAAAAGCATCAATAATAAGATGGAATGAAACTAGTAATAAAATAATAGGAATAATGAAGAGTGGATCTGGCCAGAGGGTTGGGATAAAAAGCATCAATAATAAGATGGAATGAAACTAGTAATAAAATAATAGGAATAATGAAGAGTGGATCTGGCCAGAGGTTGGGATAAAAAGCATCAATAATAAGATGGAATGAAACTAGTAATAAAAAACTAATAGGAATAATGAAGAGTGGATCTGGCCAGAGGGTTGGGATAAAAAAGAATCAATAATAAGATGGAATGAAACTAGTAATAAAATAATAGGAATAATGAAGAGGGTGGATCTGGCCAGATGGTTGGGATAAAAAGCATCAATAATAAGATGGAATGAAACTAGTAATAAAATAATAGGAATAATGAAGAGTGGATCTGGCCAGAGGGTTGGGATAAAAAGCATCAATAATAAGATGGAATGAAACTAGTAATAAAATAATAGGAATAATGAAGAGTGGATCTGGACAGAGGATTGGGATAAAAAGCATCAATAATAAGATGGAATGAAACTAGTAATAAAATAATAGGAATAATGAAGAGTGGATCTGGCCAGAGGGTTGGGATAAAAAGGATCAATAATAAGATGGAATGAAAATAGTAATAAAATAATAGTAATAATGATGAGTGGATCTGGCCAGAGGGTTGGGATAAAAAGCATCAATAATAAGATGGAATCAAACTAGTAATAAAATAATATGGAAAGATTAACAACCAAACAATGTGTTAAAGTTTCAAGAGTTCAATTGGAAAATTTGTTCGTAAATTTAAACAAATTGAGTCACTGACAGATGTGAAAATACCGTCTTGTGCTTGTTTACACTGTTCAACTGAAAACATTGCTGCAGTGCACAAGAATGTAGACGAAAATCCAAACTCCTCTGTTTGTCATTGTGTGCAGGAATTGATCCACTCCATAACAATGTTTTATTGTTTCCAATGACACTCTCAGTTGGTCAGTTATCTTGACCAAAAAAGTCACAATGTGCGCAAAATGCATTTCTGTTTGAACGTCCATTTTCATAATAGGCTTCGATAACTTTAACATATTGTTTGATTATTAATCTTTCCATGGTTGAATTCGCATTTAAAATCAGTCCAAGTTATTGGAACACCCTTTACATATATATATATATATATATATATATATATATATATATATATATATATGATTACAGTGTTGGTACAGATGGAATAAGATTCTGATAACCAAAACCACAATTTTTAAAAAAGTGCTCAATACAAAGTAGAGCAAATAATATTTATTTAAAAATTATAACATAAGAATGTTATAATATAATTTTTTTTTTTTCAACACTTCTGGTGTCTTGTTAAGTGATGGTGTTGATTCCAACAAGACCATCACTTGACATATATATATATATATATATATATATATATATAAGTGAAATATAGAAGTCAACACTTAAGGCGACAGTTCATTTCATGCTAAACACAATTGTCAGGCCACGAGTGCTGTTATTTTTCTCAGCTATTTATATATGAGGGTCAGTGGTGCATTGTGGGTAGTCTATTTTGGCGGTTATTTTACTGGAAGTTGTTTATTTGTTTATTTATTTATTTGGGTTAAATTATTTTGCTTGTTTTTATTTATTTTTATTTTTTATCTTATATATTTATTTTTTTTATTTTTATTCTAATCCGTGTTTTTATTAACATAGTAAAAATTTTTTTATATTGCTTATTTAATAGTTTTGTTTTAGTTTGGGAAAGATAATTAAAGCTATTTATTCAATTTTGATTACGTCTAGCATGAAACTAACAGTTACCTCCAACTGTTGACTTGCATGTTCACTTTTATTTTACACACACTTTATTTCTGATATTGAGCACTTTATCCCATAAATATAGCACACCTTCAGACTATATTTCTTCATATATATATATATATATATATATAAGGAATTAATTTTCCTTTATCCATTAATCCAACAGATTTTATTACTCAAATTTTATTTTTAGGGGACACACCTTATTTGAATAGATGTTGTTTTTATTTATTTATTAAACAGATTCAAGAAATCTTATTAGAAAAATATGTGGAGATCACATTTATTTCTAATAAGATTTCTTTAACATTCTGGCCAGTAGATGGAAATCTTACTTATTATAAAATGCAGATTGTGTGTGTGTGTGTGTGTCTGTACATTTATATATTGGATCGGATTTCCTACATTTTTCAACTGATGTCAACAAAACTTCACAGGACTGTGTAAAATTACCTTGCAGTGGTTCTGATAGCGCTAAAAATTGGAAAAACACAATTGTTTTTGCATGAAATCAATTTGAAAACACAATAAAACACGATTCTGTCGCCAGAATGAAAGGGGGACAACTCATATCGAGTTATACTTATTATAAAACCCAGGTTGTTTGTGTGTGTGTGTGTTCATTTGTATATGGGATAGGATTTCCTACATTTTTCAACCAAGTTTAACAAAACTTCACTTTTTTTTTGGCATGTAGTGTATCTTATTGTCTTGCTTTTTTTTTTCTTTATTTTTACATTCAGAATGCTTTAAAAATTCCATTTACAAGAAAATTGTTTATAATAAAATTATATTCAATCGGTAGACTCATAACGATTGAAAACAATGTTTTTGTTTGAGTTTGGGTTTGACCAATTCATAAAAAAAAACAAAAAAACTAATTAAGACATGTGTGTCCATCAACCTTAAACAATAATCTTCATTTTTATTTTTCAGTCTTTATGATGGTCGATACTTGATCTATCTCTTACTGATACATCCCCGGGCAACGCCAGGCTCTACTGCTAGTAAATAAATAAAAACAGGAAAAACTTAATGACAGGAAAAAATAGTTTAATGATTGAATAATGAGGCTATGATTTCGTGTGAAGGAAGAATTTTGTCAAAAAAAAAAAAACTTGAAATTTATTCATAAATGTCTGTGTGTCTATGTAATTAACTCTCGATTGTTTTGTCCATTTTAGCTTTGGTTGGATGCTTCAGCGAGATCTGGAACGCCTGATGGAAGTTGAGAAGAGAGTGAATAAACTTCCTCTGGGAAGGTGAGTTAGTTGCCCACAACCAGTTTTTACTTCTGACAGGTGTGATTCTATAATATATCCCACATTTTTCATACTTTGTCTATCTTCTCAGATAGTGACAAAATTTGAGCAAGGTTTCATCAAAAGGGAATAAATTACATCCTTGAGTATAAATATGACCTTGTGTTTCAGAAGCTAAAAATGGAATATATTATTACATCCTTTAGTAACCTGCATTTCAGGAGCTAAAAAACAGGGGATAAATTACATCTTCGTGTATAATACAACTTTGTTTCTGAAGCTAAAACCATGGACTAAATTACATCATTCTAATTAATCTTACTTCATAATACAGCCATCTTCATGTGAATTTTTTTTAAAGTTATGCTATATTATCCATTAACATATATTCAATTGTCAATAAATAGCATAATTTTAAAAAAAAAAAAAATCTTTCAGTCTACAAATATTTCGTCTTAGTATTTGCCTATATAAAGGAAAAAATTGCGCCCTGAAGATGACAATTTGAAATTCTCAAAAGTGCTTGGCATGTGATATGTCCCGGAAAGGGATATATTTAATCGAAGTAGCTAAGTGGTTTTGGCTACTATAACCAATTTATACACGGTAGCAGTAATCGACTGGTACTCGTAGTAGTCACAGGTAATAGGTGTAGACCAATAGGATAGCCGATGGTGTAGTCCAGTTGGCATCGTGACAGATTTAAACTCTGTTGTACCTACACATCCATCTGTATTTATGATGGACACCAGCCAATCATATTCCAGTGAGGGGGAACTCAGGTGTATGCATATTCCATTATATCAGCATGTTTCTTCCATCTGACACCAACTCGAATATAAGAATCTTATTATTCAAGGAACTGATAGTAAGTTAATGCCTCATTAAGTATTGTTAGTGAATTGATTTCAGCATTAATCACATTAGAATTGCTATTTAATTCTTTGTCTAAATTGTTTCTTTATAATGTGTGTGTGTGTGTGTGTGTGATATAAATACTTTTCACAAGTACACCAAAAATCCTATGCAAAATTGTCAGGGTGTGACATTTTGATTCTTGGTAGACTGATACACAGCTACTACACTGATCCTAAGCAGAAATGCTGATGCTTAAATAAATAATCCAGAATCTTTGAATATTAGGAAAAAAAAAACCAAAGACTAGACAAATTTGCATCTTTTATCCAGAATTTGTTTTCTGAAGAATCCACAATATCTACAGAAACAAATTCTGAATAAAAGGGATTCTAACAAGCCTTTTTTGCGTCATCATAATAATGAAAGTTTCCATTATTTTTCTTCTATGTGCCATGTCCCTTCAGGACATTGGTGATCATGGCTCTCCACAATTTCCTGTCCTTTATACTTCTTAATAAATTTTGTCTTTTTTGTTATCTCTCCTGAACCCTGTTCTGCCATCCATTTACACAAGCTCACTAAGTAGGCTATGCATTGTTTTTCCTCTGTCCCTCTTATATTGTATCTGTCCTGGGAGTGTCAAATTTTCTAAGCCCTCTCTCCTCATTATGTGCCCTAGAAATTTCTAGTGCCTCTTTTTGATATTAAATATAAGTGTCCTTTTTGTTTCCATTTTCTCTAAAATTTTGATGTTGATAACATTTTCGGTCCATGGTATTCTCAGCATCCTTCTGTAGAACCTCATTTCGGTTGCCTCAAGTCTTACATTTAGCCTAATTTGTTTGTTTTTTCTCTCTCTCTCTTTCTCTCTTCTATATGCCACGTCTTTTCAGAACATTTGCAATCATGGCTCTCCACAATTTCCTCTTCTTTGAAGCTCTTAATAAATTTTGTCTTTTTGTTATCTCTTTTAAACCCTGTTCTGTCATCGATTTACAGGAGCTTGTTCTTCATCTATGGGCTGTGTCCCTTCAGAACATTAGCGATCATGGCTCTCCACAATTTCCTGTCTTTTGTAGCTCTTAATAAATTTTGTCATTTTGTTATCTCTCCTAAACCTTATTAAGCCATCCATTTACTCAATCTCATTCTTCTTCTTCTATGTACCATGTGCCTTCAGGATGTAGGTGATCATAGCTCTCCACAATTTCCTGTCTTTTGTAGCTCTTAATAAAATTTGTCTTTTTGTTATCTGTCCTGAACCCTGTTTTGTCATCCATTTACACACGCTCACTAGGTAGGCTATGTGTTGCTTTCCTTTGTACCTCTTGCCTTCAATCTGTCTTGTGAGTATCAAATTTTCTAAGCCCTCTTTCCTCATGATGTGTCCCAGAAATTTCAGCTGCCTCTTTCTGATGTTAAGGATAAGTGTCCTTTTTGTTTCCATTTTCTCTAAAAACTTTTCATTGCTCACATGTTTGGTTCAGAATATTCTCAGCATCCTTCTGTAGAACCACATTTCTGTTGCCTCTAGTCTTACATTCAGCCTAAAGTTTTTTTTGTCTCTCTCTCTTCTATGGGCTCTCTTCATCTTTTCTATTTGTCTTCTGGTGTTTTCGAAGGATGTTGTTTTTTCATGGACTGCTTTTGTCCAATTGGTTCTTTCCACGGCTTCTGTCTCCAAGTTGACCGGATTGATTTCTGTCTTCAGCAAGATGTTTTTGAGCTGATCCCTAAATTGACAACATGAGGCTCTACATAGTGTATGCAGAAGTGTATCTCACCATTGTTGATTTCCCAGGGAGGTGACATCTTAATGTTATCGGCCTGAGGAGATCCTAACATTTGGGGTGATTGGAAAAAAAAAGAGAGATTTGAAAACTATGACATTGATTGACCCAAACCTCGTGAATGAAATTGGGTATAGAGAACTTTCTAGAAGCTATCAATAGTTGTGACTCCATAATAGCACAAGTCATCATGACTGAGGGTTATGTTTTCTTTCACAGAAACTGTAACTAAGGCCTGCTCAGCATAGTTACAGTATAAATTACAGGTTGGGGGGGTGTCGTAGATATTGAACACGTAGAAATGTGCCTGAGCAGGCGTCTGCAACTGGGATTGGCTCGGAAATGAGTAGCTGGCCATTTTATAATCTCAATTTTTTTTTTTTTAGTGGGGCCATTGCTGGACATCCTTTTAATGTTGACCGTGAGTTTCTGGCTAAAGGTAAGAATTAAAAGACAAAATCCCTACGCTTACAGCCATGTTAATTTCAAACAGCAATTAAACAAAAGTTAAGCAATTTCGACCTGGTCAGTACCTACATGGGTGACTATTTAGAAATAACAGGTGTTCTAAGCTTGGATGTGTAGGCTGTGTAATGGATAACAACTTTGAGTTGGAAATTGGAGAGCAGAGTTTCAATTCCAGTTGGGTTCATTATATTCTCTTATGCACAAATAATTTGGTAAAGGTATGAATCCACCTCTTTTCCTTCTAGATATATGTTAATTAGTAGTTTAATTATCATTAAATCATTATTATCTCTAAAAAAAATTTTACAATCTAATCATCCGTATCCTGGGTAAGACGATAAACTATGTCCAACACAAGACAGGAGATTTTGAGGAGCGTGGAACCACCTCTTAATTGCTGGTGATCCCACGTCCACCCTGACCCGGGGTGGTAGCACCTGTTAGGGTCCCAGCTATGGACAAATAGTTAACACCCAAACTTGTGTAAAAATAGGTTTTAATACCAGAAATACTTTGTAATAAAAAAAATTATTACCAGCAATAATTTTTGAAGGAAAAATTATCATCAGCAATACAAACAGCTATACATTTTTTGAAAAAAATATGACCAGCTATCGATTTCTTCAAGGAAAAATATTCCCAGAAATAGATTTTTGAAGAAAAGCATATTACCAGCAATAAAAATTTTATTGGCATTAAATAACCCATTGAGGTTGATATGCCATAAAACAAAAACCAAACCAAATTCACAATCTAAAAATATCTGGCTTTAAATAACCTACAAAAGGTTGATAAGCTGTAAAAAACCAAACCAATGAATCAATCAAAAAAATAATCTTGCCATTCTGAATCCAAGACTGTAACAAGTAAAATTAAATTACCAGTTTTTATTATTTAAATATTTTTTTCGCCCAAATTCTTAATTAATATTCTTCATTTGATAGAAAGATTTGCAAACAGCAAGACAAGATGAGATTGAAAGAGAGTAGTCTCAAAAATGCATTAAGAAATTGAACAACTCACCACACAAAAATTCTCAAATTATTAGAATAGTACTTGCAGTTACACTTAGCAATTTCAACATTAAAATGAGACCTAGCTGCCAACCTAGTATGGCATTTAAATTCATGAGTTATTGAGAAGATCAGATAGAATTTTTTTTCTTAAATCATTTCACTCCAAATAAGGTGATAAAGCCACTAAGATGAAAGACTATGGAGTGAAGGAAACTGACAAAATGTTACTGAAGAGAAAGGACAATAAAAGAACAGGATTCAAAGAGACAAATGATGATAATTGATGTTGCATTAAAATTTTTGAAGATCATAGTTGACAGGAAGCTGGAAGAGAGTTGATGACAGTAGATTGCATTAAAATTTTGAAGATCATAGTTGACAGGAAGACAGGAAGAGAGTTCCAAGTTGACAGGAAAATTGAGGAGAACAATAGAAGAGTAATCAGGAAGACAGTAGATAACGATTGACATTGCATTTAAATTTTTGAAAATTAAAGTTGACAGGAAAGCAAGAAGCCGGAAGAGAGTTCCACAAGTGAAAATTGAGTGAGAACAATAGAAGAGTAATCAGAAGACAGTAGATAATGATTGACATTGCATTTAAGAAGATCAAAAGTTGAAGAAAGAAAGGAAAATTGATTGAGAACAATAGAAGAGTAATCAGGAAGACAGTAGATAACGATTGACATTGCATTTAAATTTTGAAAATCAAAGTTGACAGAAAGCAAGAAGCGGAAGAGTTCCACAAGTGAAAATTGAGGAGAACAATAGAAGAGTAATCAGGAAGACAGTAGATAAAATGATTGATATTTCAATTTTTAAAGATCATTTTCAATTTTTGAAGATCAAAGAAGTGTGACAGGAAAGCAAGAAGCCAGGAAGAGAGTTCCACAAGTGAAAATTGAGAGAAAACAATAGAAGAGAATCAGGAAGACAGTAGATAATGATTGATATTGCATTTCAATTTTGAAGATCAAAGTTGACAATCGGAAGAATTCGAAGAGAGTTCCACAAGTGAAAATTGAGGAGAACAATAAGAGTAATCAGGAAGACAGTTGATTGATTGCATTTCAATTTTTTTGAAGATCAAAAGTTGACAGGAAAGAGAACAATAGAAGAGTAATCAGGAAGACAGTAGATAACGATTGACATTGAAGAAATTTTTGAGATTAAAGTTGACCTGGAAGATTCCAGAGTTAATCAGGAAGACAGTAGATAACGATTGACATTGCATTTAAATTTTGAAGATTAAAGTTGACAGGAAAGCAAGAAGCTGGAAGAGAGTTCCATAGAAGAAATCATTAGACAGTAGAACTCACAGTTACATCTACCTGTTTAAAGTGTAAAAATGATGAGACCTTGCCACCAATCTAGTTCTGCACTTGAATTTGTAAATTCTAGGTCACATACAGGAGAGTTTGTGGGTTATCTCACTTGACTTTGCCAAAAGAGCTCCTGAGATGGCACTCTCTTAAGCCTATAAAAAGGGAATTGTATTCTCTCTCTCTCTTTGGTCTTTTAAGATCTGGCTTTCAGATGTAGTCACAGGTCAATAGGAATGCTGCTTACAAGGAATGTTCACTTTTTGACCTTTCTCACACGTGCAAATACCCACACATGTCTATCAAACGCACTTGTTACATACACACACAAGCAAAAACATTCTTCTTAAAACTTGTTTTAATGTTTTTCCCTTTCATTACAATTGTGTACATATGTAATTCCTTTTGTTAATAACATGCATTGTCATTTGTTTTATATTCTTTGTTTTGTGTTACTTATTTTACCTGGATTCACATGAGTCCATCAATATTGTTTATGGGATAAATGTTCCAGGAGCACATAAATATCCAAAGTATTGATTCCCACAACATAATGGCGACTGATATTATTATACTCATATCTTGTGATAAGTTTATCAAAACAATTACCATATTTATAGAAATATTTGCTAAACAAATTTATGTTCTTTTTTTTAATTTTTAAATAATCTTTTTTTTCTCGTTTTGCAGAATTAGGTTTTGCTGAGATCACTGGCAATAGCAGTGATTCTGTAAGTGACAGGGACTTTATCCGTAAGTGAAATGTTTTCTTTTTGCTTTGTGGATGTTTTTCTTTTCTTTCTCATTTCGCTTGGCATGAAGTGTTGGTCTAACTATACACCGGTTCTTTTGTACAGTGAACGGCAATCATTGAACGTAAATAAATGGCAGAACTGTCCAACAAACAGAATTGACAAAGTTTGCAATACACAGTAAGAAAAAGAACAGAGAAAAAAAATAATATAAAACAAGCAAACAATATATGTAAGGCAAATTAACAGTAATAAGGCAAATCAAAAGTAATATGGCAAAAAGTTGTGTTTCAATGTGTATACAATGCATCTCATCAGATGATTGTAAATTACTGGCAAGTGAATGATTTAATCAGATTTAAAAGCAAAATAGTCACTTTTTACAAAATCGACATTTTTTACATTGATCTAAGCAAAGCCCACAAACCTTATAGCCAACACCCCCATTTCTTTTTTTTGTTTTTTCATAAAAAGAGGCTGTATTTTGCTTTTAAATCATTCACTCACCAGTAATTCACAATTGCCTGATAAGATGCATTGCATATGCATCGAAACATGACTGCAAATGTGTAGTGATTTTGACATGCTTTTGATGTCAGTTATGTGCCATGCATGATACACACTTAGGCGATCATGTATCTTTTGATACATGACTGATGAGGCAGATGTTTTCCCACAGTAGGATGCCATTTTTTTCTGCTGTGGACCAGTTGCCATCCAAGTCTATAGAACCTGGTCTGTCCTGCTATTTGTCCATAGCTGGGAGGAGAAGAGGATTTATACTTTTTCAAGGGTATTAGCATGTAATATCCTAAAATAAAGAATATTTCTCTACTTTGTATTGAGCCCTCTTTTAAATGAAATATTATGAATGTAGGAATTCTACTCTATTCATGCTTATCTTACCTGGATAAAGCAAGCAAACAATATATGCAAGGAAAATTAACAGTAATAAGGCAAAGCAGCAGTAATATGGTAAAAAGTTCACAAACTAAGAATTGGGGTGGACACACAAGAACAAAGTGCAAAGTGAGTGTAGCATTCTGACTTCAAGGCAAGACAGACAGGGACTGAGTCAGATGAAACTGAGAACCGGCCTATTTTATTGGCTAAGAAGAAATCCCAGCATGCATTTCTGTGTTTCTGCCTATAAATTGGGGAGGGGAAGTGTTCTGCAGTTATTTCTACTGGATTGGAACCAACATATCGGAACAATGTTAGCCAAAATAATAACAAAGTGGGAAAGAGTTTCCTGTGATGTATTTAGTCCAATGAAATCCTTAAAGAGCAAAACAAGTCACATAGAAATTTGTCATTGTTTTTCCTTATTATGGCTTCCATTTTTACAGGTTTACTGCTATTGTGTTAACTATCACTGAATTTGTCTATCAGGCTTTACATAAGAATGGTGAGGCTTGGACTGTGGCTTTAGATGTTTTGAAGGCATTCAACAGGGTTTGGCATCCTGGCCTTCTATGAAAGATCAAGGACTAGTGTCTCTGGACAAATATTTGGCTTAATCTAATACTGATTCTTCTTGTTCTTTTCCGCTATCTAAACAGTTACAAACAGCCTGGTGTACTAATGGCCATTTACTTATACTTCATTGGCGATCACAAAATACTGCTAATAACAGTTCTATAATAGTATATTCCATTGTTGTGAATGCAATCATAACTCAAAGTTTACATTTTCTCAGTGGAACTTGCATGGATAAAAGTTGATTTCATTGATATGGAATTATTCTTCAAATAGGCAATTTATTATGAAGTTATGCCAGTAATATATAAGGTAGAAATGGTTTTATTACTTTTATTATCAGTTTATTTGATAATGTGAATCTTTTCATATATGAGGCCAAGTTTAGCCTTACTGACAAACACCACTCAGAATTTAAGGTTTCTTTTTCAGAAATTTGGTCTAAGATGACCCCTTATTTTTAAGGGTGATTTTTGGGATTTAAAGGTCATCTTATATGCGGAAATATATGGTATGTACGTGCACACATCATAGTTGCTCTCTCCTATCTCAAAATGGCTCAAATTTATTCCTCAGGTCTTAATTGCATGCCTCAGATAGCCTGGCAAGCTAGTATTTACTGAAATGCTGTGTACTACCGAATTTTGTCTGAAGTAATGTTCTTTTATATGTTGTATCCTTTTAAGACATAAATGATCATGGCTCTCCGCAACTTCCTAAACCATAATATTAAATGAGCAATATTTTTAATGAGAATAATTATTTAAAGTTGAAATTCATAATATATTGTTTTTATAAACATATCTTGAAAATTACCAAATTGATTACTACTTTTTTTTTTTTTTAAAATATTTAAATTTGATAAAATATATTCTCCTGTTTTTTTTTCTGTCAGTGGAGTTCATGTTTTGTGGATCCATGGTGTCCACTCACTTGAGTCGATGGGCTGAGGATTTAATTCTTTACTGCACCAAAGAATTTAATTTTGTTCATCTCTCCGATGCTTACAGGTGAGGATAAACTACTGATGTTCTCCTCCCACCCAATTCATAAAAGTATGAAGTTATCAATGACATAAGTTTCAAAATTGACATTTGTAAATAAAAACAAAGTACAGATAACTCTTTTAAAAGTTAGGGATCAATCTGACACTCTCCTTCTAAATGGAAGGTTTTAATGAATGATAACAAAAATGGTTTCCAAAAATATTCATAATGAGGAGTTACCTTTGGTCTTGCTGCACTTTGTTCTGATTATAAAGTGTAGGTCTTTTAAACAGGCATAAAGAATTATTCCCTGTTTCCTGTTTAGGATTGGATTATTGGATCCTTCTAAAGCCTTTCCCTTGTTTTTAACTTCTGGTGGCTCCTTGCATTTTGGTGGCATTATCACCTTGCTTGGTGTTGGGGGAGGTCTTCTGCTTTGAGTGGCTCTAGGGCCTTGAACAGGGTGAGCATCATTGTAAGATATAACAAGGAGAGGACAGTTCATATAGGACTTTGGCCTGATGTCCTCAAGTAACTGGCATTATCCACGATGTTCTAAATCAGTCATGGGTAAACTGCACCCCACGGGCCACATACAGCCTGGGTCTTTGGGTCCTGTCAATGCATCTAACTAACACCTTTATCCACAGTGCCATGTGTTCTTGAGAGTATGAGTTCAATACCCGGTTAAGGCAGTGGAGAACTTGGAGAGGGGAATTAACAGGAGATGACTGACAACTGACATCCATTAAAAACATGGTACGTGGAACTAGAACAGTCTACACACAGTGAGTGAATGAAAGGGTTCAGTTCAACATTCCAACCACCTGAAGAAGGCTGGAGCATACAACAGCTGAAACTTTGTAATAAATATAGTGACAAAGATGAGGATGATAGTCTGAATAGTGTACATTTATAAGTTGTATGCTTACACAAATAGTCTTCTGTAGTGAAAGTACCTACTACAAAAAAATTACCTTGAATCTTTGTAGTAGTGTGGATTGCCTTGTGGATAAGCCAGATATCATGCAGCCCACTGCTTGAAAAAAAGGTCGGCCATGCTTGTTCTAAATCTGCAGGATAAACTTGGCTGCCTTTGTGGTATCCATATTTGTGACAGATATGGCCAAAGAAAAGAAATGGATGACATATCTTCAACAGAGGCATTTAGCATGTTCTGCTGTTTGGCCTAAAAGACCTGACAATTTTCAAGAAGTTGGTTTATTCTTCCTTTCTTTTTTTAAAACTTAAATTTGGGTCCTTGCGTTAGATTAATATAGGCTTCATAAATATCTGTTGTAATTGTGGGTTGCGCTTTAAGGTTGGAAAATGATATTTCAGCACCGGAAGCAGTCTGATGCCCCAAAAGAAAAATGCAGACAGCCTGGAGTTGATTAGAGGAAAATCAGGAAGAATCTTTGGCTATGTAAGTAGAAATTCTTAAATGTCTTAAATCAGTGGTTCCCAAATGGTATGATGCACCTCATATGTGTGGTTGAAGAGGATAGCAGGTGAGGTGGAATGATTGAAAGACAATCAAAGATTTAGAAATAGTTTAAAAAAATTCATATACCAAAAATAAATAGGATTTTAAAATTTAAGATATTATTAAGGATTACTTGTAATTACATGCATGTGTCCCAGTATAAATAGTTATAAATAATTATTGACCGATTTTATCATTGTGATATTTTTGCATTATATCAAGTATTAAGAATAAAGTAACTAGTGTCCGCAAATTGGAGGAGAGAGTTATCAATGATAATGTTCTGACTTCGAATCCACAGTTAGCTCCCTTTAAAACTCTCTCTGTTTTTCATTTTTAAATGTCCTTTTTCTCATATAAAATTTGGTAAGGTGTGAGTAAATTTTTATTCCGAAAATGTGATTCAGAGAAAAAAAAAGTTCGGGAACCACTGTCTTAATTTGTTTAAAGAATCTCAAATTGTACATTTTATTGATTCCAACAATAAATTAATTTTTTTATTGGTTTTGACAATCAATTTTTCTGGTCATTCTATTTATTAAATAGAAATTCTAAGAAAGGAAAAAGCTTTACATTGATTTGGAAAAATGGAATATTCTATTTTTTGGTGGAATAACTGCATTGTTTCTTGATCAAATTCCTTTAAAATTTGACAGCTTACTCTTAAAAGTACAAATTGCAATCAAATATGGATTGGAATCATCCGACAGAGTGATAGGGAAGAAACAAACAGGAAACATTTATAAATCTAATGTTTCACTTTTATTAAAGCTTCATCAGATAATGAAATGTGCTGGAGAAAAAGAAAATTCTGGTATTTTTCATTTTTTTTGTTGTTTGTATTTCATTGGTTAAGCAGACCTTGTGTGTGTCTGTCTTGTCAAGTAGCGTTTGCATGTATCATAATTCTAGTTGCAGACAATCACCAAACACAGATAAAGATTACTAAATTATTATTACAACGTTTTGGCCGTTGTATGTTCCGGCCTTCTTCAGGTGTACAACGGCCGAAACATTGTAATAAATATGGCAACAAAGATAAGAACAATAGTCCAAATAATGTAAATAGTGTACATAATACCACATCTCAGAAATATAGATTGATACAGATAAAGGTGCTTACTAGATGTGTACACACATACACACACAAATATTTATTCATCTGAATCCTGCAGAGACAAACTAGAATTCTGATACATATACATACACACACATGAATTATACACAAAAGGGAATTGGGAAGTAAAGGAGTGGACGAGGGGTTTTTGAAGATCGAGTGATATTAAGACCAGAAACTGGTTTATATTTGCTTGGGATTGTGGTCAGTTCCGGTCTACCCTTGACAGGAAATGGATTTGTCTGTCATGTGATTCCAGTACCATTCATATTGCCAACCACACATCATGAGGTGTAGATGGTCAAGGAGTTGGTTAAGTGCTGACTGAGGAAATCCACATAGCAGAAGTTGTCCAATGTCACCTACCTGCCCACTTGGACGAACAGGTGAAGCCCTGAATAAAGCATCTATATATTATATGGGAAACAGGGTTCGCGTTCTTATTTCTTCACATGGCATTTGTCTTTCATCTTGTGAGCATGCAGCAGGCTCTTTCCCAGTTTTTGGTGTACACCAATGAGATTGAGAATTAAAATGCAACAAAGGTGCAATCATTGGATGGTTGGTGGAATGTTTGGGCGAGGGTAGAGTTGTATGCTTACAGTAGCCCTTTTTTGTATTTAATATTTCTTTAATTCACTGTTAATGAACCAGTTGACCTACAACAATCCTACAGTGTCACCGATACCCACATTCCAGTAATGACTTGTTTCAATTCTTTAAGATCTGATGGATAGTATTTTCTTAATCTCCTCTTGAGGATTTCCCTATAAATTTTCTATTGGATTTGCATTTGGGCAAATTTGCATCTGGTCTATTTTTAGGCCAATCAAGAACAGTTATTGTCTTCTCTCCAAACCATTCTTTTGTAAATTTCACTGCATGTGAGTGGAACAAGATCATGCTTGAAACTTGTCCCCAAATGTCTGGGATAAGGAAATGATCTTGGACATCCTAGCAGCATCCTTTCAAGAAACAGATCTTTCCAATATTGGTAACAGATCCAAGATCATCAGAGATTGAAGCAATTTTTACACTTTTTTTTTTTCACACATTTGGCATGTTTCTAATGTGACTTTCTCCAGATACGGGGTCATGAACACCAAAGGAAATACCCGGTTCCATTGATCAGCAGACCAACTTTGATGGTTTTTAACCCATATTAAACGCTTCCATTTCTGTTTAAAATTGGATATTGGCTTTGAAATCGGTATCCTACTGTCATATCCAAGATGATGGAACATCCATTGTTGTCCATGAAGAAACAGCTAACACCAGCACCATTCCAAGCTTTGGAAATTTCATCACAATTGGCAAATCGATTGGAAATAAGGATCCTGTTCAGCGGATGTTCATCTCAAGTTGTTGTTGTGACTTTGGAACTGCAGTTGGACCGTTTTCAATGAACTTGTCTCGTTATCTTCAAAATAGCAAACTGACAGTATCTCACCTTGACAGCTGAATTGATCATTTCCTGTTGGTCGCCAGTGGAAAAGATTCAAGACCACATAAACATCACAATCCATCTCTATTAGTCAGACTAACATTTTATAATAATAAATTTATAATTGTACTCCAAATTTAAGTTTTGTCTAATCTTACAACTTGCGATGGTGACTTAAATTTTACTTTTGTCTTTTAGTGTTCTGGTTTCATGATGACTGTAAAAGGAACACCCAGTACTTACAATAAAGACTTTCAGGTTGGTCAATAGCTTCTTTGTTTATTTTATATCAGTGTGTGGTAAGCGTTTATTTTATCTGCTCTGACAAGCTATTTTCACTAATGCTTCGGCTGCATCTCAATCTCACACCTTTTACCGTCAAAACAGTTAAATGTAAACACCTCTTCTACTCCAACAGCTTCTATCACACTTCCCGACTGTGGAGCTCCCTTCCTCTTACTTGCATCCCTGATAACTATAATCTTCAAAAATTTAAATGTAATGTCAATCGACATCTTCTGATCCCCATTCTTCTTTTTATCCTTTCCTCAACACCCTCCCCCAACCTATACTCAGTCTTTTCCCTTACTTTCACTCTCTGAAACCTCTTGCATACTCATGGCACTCCCACCTTGCTTGGGGTGAAATGCTTAAAAAAATTATTTTCACATATACAGTTCTTAAACAAAATGACAAATTCTCAACTCTAAACAAAATAATTTTAAAGCAGCATGTCAATAATCCTGCTTGTGCACATATGATAATTGTGTTACTCTTATGTTTTTTTTGTTCTCTCCTTTCTTTAACAGGAAGACAAGGAAGCCATGTTTGAAGTGTATGACACATTGACTGGTATTCTTCAAGTTGCCACTGGTGTCTTATCAACCTTGACAGTAAGTTTTCAATTCAGACTTTCTTCTACATTTAACTTGTTAGATTGATATTGTGAAATTCTGACATTTTTAGACATCAAGTGAGGGATTTTTTATTAATCACTATCATTCCAAGTAAGGCAGTAAAGCCACTAAGACGCAAGGGGTTACAGGGTGTGGAAGAATTAGGAAAAGGAACATTAATAATAAATGGGAAGAGGAATGAGTAATCAAGAGGACAGAAAATAGTGATTGACATTACATTTAAATTTTTGAAGATTAAAGTTTTCTGGAAAGCATAGAGCCAAAAGGGAGTTCCACATGTGAGAAAAAAAACTTTTTGCATAGAACTTATGGCATCATCCAGTTTGCTCAATTCTAAATTGATGAAGATCTTGATGCCACTCTCATACTGTGCTTAAATTTAAAAAGTATCATTATCATTGTGAAGAGCTCATTCAAACAATTACCATGAAAGTATTTATGGAAAAGGCACGGAGGCAAGTTTATAAACCTGGGAAAGTGACTGAAGCCAAGTTGCCAGATCAGGATTAATAATATTGCTGATTTTTCTTTGGATTTTATGAAGGAGATCAAGGTATATAGCTTTTGGAAGATTTGTGGCAGCAATATTCTAAGCATGGATAAATGATAGACTTATAGATATGTAATCATAATATGGATCAAGGGCAAAAACTAAACCCTATTAGCCAGTAAGAGTTGATTAGACTTTTTAACAACATCAAGTGGGGGATCAGTTTAGGAGTTAAATAATAATGGAGTAAATTGGTAGACAACATCAAATGGGGGATAGTTTAATTTAATAATAACAAAACTGAACCTTATTGGCCAGTAAGAGTTGATTAGACTTTTTAGACAATATCAAGTGGGGGATCAAAAAATAATAAAAAACTGAACCCTATTGGCCAGTAAGAGTTGATTAGACTTTTTAGACAACATCAAGAGTTAAATAATAACAAACTGGGGATCAGTTTCAGAGTTAAATAATAACAAAACTGAACCCTATTGGCCAGTAAGAGTTGATTAGACTTTTAGACAATATCAAGTGTGGGATCAGTTTAGGAGTTAAATAATAAAAAAACTGAACCCTATTGGCCAGTAAGATTTGATTAGGACAATATCAAGTTCAGTTTAGGAGTTAAATAATAACAAAACTGAACCCTATTGGCCAGTAAGAGTTGATAAGACTTTTTTAGACAATATCAAGTGGGGGATCAGTTTAGGAGTATAAATAATAACAAAACTGAACCCTTAAGATTGATAAGACTTTTTTAGACAATATCATCAAATTAAATAATAACAAACTGAACACTATTGGGTAAGAGTTGATTAGACTTTTAGACAATTAGGATCAGTTTAATAAATAACAAAACTGAACCTTATTGGCCAGTAAGAGTTGATTAGACTTTTTAGACAATATCAAGTGGGGGATCAGTTTAAAATAATAACAAAACTGAACCCTATTGGGGATTAGACTTTTAGACAATTTAGAGTTAAATAATAAAAACTGAACCCAATTGGCCAGTATAACAAAACTTAAACCCTATTGGCCAGTAAGAGTTGATTAGACTTTTAGAAAATATCAAGATCAATTAAATCAAAACTGAACCCCTGGTGGGGATTAGATTTTAGACAACATCAAATGGGGATCAGTTTTTAATAATAACAAAACTGAACCTTATTGGCCAGTAAGAGTTGATTAGACTTTTAGACAATATCAAGTTTTTAGTAATAAAAAAACTGAACCCTATTGGCCAGTAAGAGTTGATTAGACTTTTTAGACAATATCAAGTGCGGGATCAGTTTAGGAGTTAAATAATAACAAAACTGAACCCTAACAAAAACTTTTTACCCAAAGGGGATCAGTTTATAATGGCCCCTATTGGCCAAGAGTTGATTAGACTTTTAGACAATATCAAGTCAATCAGGGGATCCTAGTTTTGATTAGAGTTTTAATAATAACAAAAAATAATAACAAAACTGAACCCTATTGGCCAGTAAGAGACTTTTAGATTCAAGTGGGGATCTTTTTAAATAATAACAAAACTGAACCCTATCAAAGAGTTGGGGGATCAGTTTTTAGGAGTTAAATAATAACAAAACTGAACCCTATTGGCCACCTTTTAGACAATATCAAGTGGGGGATCAATTTAGGGTTAAATAATAACAAACTGAACACTATTGGCCAGTAAGAGTTGATTAGACTTTTAGACAATATCAAGTGGGGGATCAGTTTAGAGTTAAATAATAAAAAACTGAACCTATTGGCCAATAACTTTTTAGACAATATCAAGTGGGGGATCAGTTTAGGAGTTAAATAATAACAAAACTGAACCCTATTGGCCAGTAAGAGTTGATTAGACTTTTAGACAATATCAAGGGATCAGTTTAGGAGTTAAATAATAAAACAAAATTGGCTGAACCCTTTTAGACAATATCAAGTGGGGGATTTTAGGAGTTAAATAATAACAAAACTGAACAATTGAGTTGATTAGACTTTTTATGGGATCATTTTAGTTAAATAATAACAAAACTGGAACCCTGAAAAATAAAACCCTATTGGAAGTGGATTAGACTTTTTATTCATTTTAGTTGCCAAAATTGAGTGGACTCAAAAGCAAGAAGCTTGTGCTCTAAATTTTTCCTTTTTTTTCTCTCACAGATTAACAAAGAGAAAATGTATGAAGCTCTGAGTCCTGATATGTTGTCAACAGATCTTGCTTATTATTTGGTCAGAAAAGGAGTAAGTCTAAACTTTCATATTCTAAATGTCTGTGTATTAGAGTGAGTATTCATCTAAACAATTTTGCTTAAAAAGAATCAGTCTGCTGTTCTGCCTGTTTGAGTTTTTATTATATTTTTTGAATACAGTCTTGAGTATTATATACAAAATTGTGGAGAAACTGTCTGAAATTTATATTTTGTTCAAGTACTTTTGACTTTAGCAGTCATTTTTAGATTTCATATTAGTTCTTGATAAAGACTGTGATAGTCTAAAGTACAAAAATAACTATATATATATATATATATATATATATATATATATATATTGTTACGTTAACCCCATGTTTGTACCTCACCTCAGATTTTATAAGTATATTTTCAGTACATTTTGTATTTCTTGACCACGAAACATATGAATCTTAATAACTTTTTATTTCTTGAATATGCAGATTGTGAGATATATATTGTTTTTATAACCAGATGAGTCAGGGCCAGTTCTCGAAAAAGAACCTTCCTTCTACCCCATTTCCTACCTGGTCCCTGATGCGTGAGCCAAACAAACACTGTTTGACAGATAGGTGCGAATGATGTTAGCCAGGTCCATAGTCACTGGCCAGAACGAATGCTGTTTGACAGATAAGTGCGGATGACATTAACAGGGTCCGTGAATGACGCATACCTTTTTGGGGGCCAACACGTGACTCAACAGATAGCAGTTTTTCGTTTCGCACGTGTTGAGGTAACAACGATCTCACATAGTTGCTGGCTATCGGAGGAGTCAGACATCACCAAAAACCAGTCTTGGCTATTTGCCATTAGAAGAAGCAGTTGTCACCAGAACCAAACTTCGTTGTTTGATGCCAGAAGAATTAGATGCCACCAAAAACCAAAGGACCGACGTGAGAATCTAGATCAACATCGTCAACCCAAGTCGGCTACACTCCCGTGATTTTCCTGTGTTCTCCTCACCATCAACCCAGATTGGACGTCACCAGTCAAAAATTCATATTAGAACATTGTCAATCCCACCCTTTGCTTTCAGAGAAGTGTATGAATATCCTTTTAAACAAACTGTTCCCCGATAATAGTCAATCGACGTCGATTCCAACCTTATGTAAGTTTCTGCATGTTTTTCCATATCTTATAGTCTGCTATTTCTGTATTCATATGTATTTCGCCGCATTAGTATCTGTTTAATTGGTAACTTATCTCCCCATCCCTTCTATTATTTAGTTTTCTTTTTCTTACATTCACACTCCGTGTATTCTAGGAATAAAATGTTTGTATTATATATTCTCATGTTGTCTTCTGTTGTTCTGTGTCTGCGTATGGTTCATTTTCTCTCTGCGTTTACCGACGTCCGGAATTGGAGAATTCCCCTCCCAACGTTCTTTTCTTTATTTTTATATCGAACCTTAGGATCTCTTACTTATTTTTTTTTATTTTCTCGTTGCATCCTGGCTATCGTAGTCCCAACGAAACCCCAGGTGTAACAATATATATATGTATGTTAATTCATTTTGCTGACTCTTTTTTTTATATCGGTCAGTTATGTGCCATGTGAGATACACACTTAGGCGATCATGTATCTTTTGATACATGACTGACGAGGTAGATTTTTTCCTGCAGTAGGTTGCCATTTCTTTCTACAGTAGACTAGTTACCATCCAGAACCCCATCTGTCCTGCTATTTACCCATATTTGGGGGGAGAAGGGGAGGATTCATACCTTTCCAAAGGGTTCTATTAGCACATAAGTGAATGTAATGGATTCAACTGGAATTTAAACTCAGCTCTCTGATTCCTCAATCTGATCTGCTATCCATTACTCCACCATATATTTATCTTTTGAAAATTTTTGTTAATTTAATAGTTATGTAAAATTAAAGTATTTTATATATATATATATATATATATATATATGTCTGTGTGTCTGTATATGTATGTGTGGGTGGGTGTATACATACATATGTATGTAGGTATATATTTGTATATATGTATTTTTGTATTTATATTCATGTATATATTTGTGTATGTGTATAAGTATATATTTATGTATATTTGCATGTTTTATTTGATGTGTTTACTGTATGTATATATGTGTGAGTGTCCGTACGTACGTATGTAGGTACATATGTATATATGTGAGCATTTCATTTAACTTGAAAATTTCCCATTAGAATAAGTTTACAAAACATTACTAAACAACATTACTTTTTATTATTATTATTATTATTATTTTTAATATAATTCTTTTCAATATTATTTTTTCCACACTATTTGGAATTTTTAAGTTGTTTTAAATTATATATTTTAAATTTTAACTATTAGTTGTTAATATTTTTCTTTTATTTTGTTGGTAATCTTTAAAATAATGTCAAGTGTTAACTGTAATTTATATTAATCTGTATTTTTTAAATTAACCGCAATATGCCTTTATATGATAATTTATTCTTCCTTTTCTTCTTTCTCCCCTTTTTAACCCCCACTCCTGCACCCTCATTTGTTTTCTATTATATCTTATCTCTTCTCTTTACTTTTTTCTTTGTCTTCCTTTTCCTGTGAAAGGGCTTGTTAAATAGGTCAAAATGTCTGCCACCTTACCCTACCACTCTTATGTATCTTAATAAAGATAGATTTAAACATATTCCTATCTCTCCCTTCCCTCCCTAATATATATCTCACACATATTGTTTTTGTGTTAATAAAACAGTGATCAATGTAAATCAACAGATGCCTTGATCTATTATTCCCCGTCCTTCTCTTCATTCTTTCCTCTTTCTCCCCACTTTCTCAACCCCCCCCCTGCATTTTAGTGGCACTCTGCCTTGCTTCAGGTGAAAAGTTTTCATCTTGGAATGTGCCTTATTATCCAAATGTTTAAATTCGTTTAAAATGTTATTATTGTGTTGAATAATATTTAATATTTATCTCTACTCTGTATTGAGCTCTCTTTTAAATTTAATTTTACATACAGTGGAATTATACTCCATTTGTTCTCATTTTAGCTGGATATATATATATATATATATATATATATATAATGAAGAAATATAGTTTTAAGGTGTGCTATATTTATCGGATAAAGTGCTCAATATCAGAGCGTATATAAATATAAAAGTGAACATTGAGGTCAACACTCAGAGGCGACAGGCTGTTTCATGCTAGATGCAATCGTCAGGCCACGAGTGCTGGATTTTTTCTCAACTATTTATATATATGGATCAGTGGTTAATACATACGATGCTAAGCATCGTGCCATCTGGTGGATGGCTGTGGAACTACAAGGGTAAAGATAAAAGAGGTAGTATGATTTTGTAAATCAGTTTTTTTCTTCAGGCTCTTTAGGGTTAACACTTGAGTGGTTCTTGAGCCTTATATTGGGTGAAATTAGTTAACTAATACAAAAGTGTGGGGGAGAAATGCCTGTGCATATTTTTTTTTTTATTTCATTATGTATTTTTCAATGCAGGTTCCTTTCCGTGAGGCTCACTCTTTGTCTGGCAAATGTGTTGCATTGGCAGAAAACAAATCCTGCCTTTTGACCAATCTCACTGTCAAGGAACTTAAATCAGTTTGGTAAGTATGACAGGAACTAAACTTTGAGATCTATGTGGAAATTATCCAACCATTTCTCAAATCTTCAGTTGATTTTCTTTTTACAGCTTATCAACCCTCTGTAGGTTATTTATGGGTTATCAACCCTTTGTGAGTTATTTAAAGCCAAAACGTTTGTAAGAAAAAATTTTTTTTTTTTTGGGAAGTGAATATTATATGAACAATATTTTGAGAATAACAATAATTTTTCCAGATACAAGTCCTACTATTTAACCCATAAAAGGGGAGGAGATGGATTCATACCTTTGCCAAAAATATTTGATGAAAACTGATTGGGATTTGAACTCAGTTCTCCAGTTTCTCATTCTGAGCCACTATTATACCACCTAAAGCTCTTGGTAACTAAATTTGTGGTTAGTGTAAATGTAATTTAGCAAACAATTAGATGAGACCATGTTGCACATTCATGAACAGACACTCTCCTGTGGGGTTACTCAATTGGTACCTAGCAGACAAGCATCTATGTGACTTGCATTTGCAGTGTTCAACGAAGATGATCAGCAAATATGTATGAAGTAGAGGTTGGAAGTACTGAACAGGAGGAGGTGGGTATGTCATGAAATCTACCAGGTACCATTTTGTGGTCTTTAAGAAATCATGCCACTATTAATCCAGTTTTAAGGATCTACCAATCAATTAGGGGGATGGACCAGAGTTTTATTTTCTAACCTAATTAAAGCATATCTATTTATACAATCCACTTTCCCTGCATTGATGGTAACTGATGTATGTTCAATGTTTTTATCAAACAGTTTTGCTTGGTGTTATTTTATCGAGATATAAAATTCTGTGACTTCTGTTAGTTCATCAATCTGTGTCTGCTACAACCTCTAAAATAGCCAGACAGTAACCGATTGAAACCAAATTTTGGGGAGAAGTGCAAATCGGTAAGGAGTTAAAGTTGGTTTTACTAGGGTACGTAAAAACTGTGAAATAGGGGTTTTGTCAGTATTTTTCCAAACAAATTTCATTGATTGTTTTGTGAAATTGAACAGAATGTAGAGTTTGTAAATCTTGACAGGAAATGTTTGTAATAACTTCAGCAATTCTAAATACTGTAAGGATTTCAACATGTGTCGGTGTGTTGCCAAAAAATTCTAGTATCAAGAAAATCTATGTAGAATATTTTAGTTGGTGTTGATGATAAATTTTGTGGAGAGGCATCCCAAATTTTTTAACGGACAATTAATTTTCTCTCTCAGTAATATTTTATTAGCCATGCTCCATATATGAATAAAATCTGATCTAAACCGGATGATTTAGTATGACTTTTGTTAGGACCAATCAGAGCATAAATCCTATCTTTTCAACAGTTTAAAAAAACAAAAAAAAACAAACATTCTTTTTCAGTGACTATTTTTTAATCAAAAAAAAAAAAAAATTGTGTTGGTTTAACCCTTCTTTTGAGCTAATCTACTGTAATATTTGACTGAATGGCATTCTAGTTTTTTTTTAACCGTTAGAAATTGTATGCCTTTTCTTGTCTTATCTTACCCGAGTCGTGTTCATAATCATTACAACAGAAAAAAAGAAGCAATTTTCTTTAAAAATGCATGAATTAAGAAAAAAATATGCTTGAAAATCTATTATATATCTTAAAAATATCAACAATGGGTCAATTAGTAGAACTTGTATCACTAAATCATTATTTCCATAATAAATCTAACAAATTTTCTGGCTTTAAATAATCTGCAGAAGGTTGATAAGCCACAAAAAAAAAAAAAAAAAAAACAAATCGGTTGCTTCAGAACTGAACCATTAGGTCACCCACAAATGAGATTTGATGATAGTGGTGAAATCTTGTGTAGAATTCGGTGCCAATCAAGGCTGCAAAGCCTAGTCTATCTTGTCCTATAACTGGATGGAGAGAGACAGATATAAGTTTTTCCCAAGGTTATTTCTACAAAAGTGAATGTTTAATGAACTCTGCTAGAATTTAAACACAGCTTGCCAATTTTTCTTTCTGAGCCATTGTTTCACTAGTTGCAACACAGGTGCTGAAACCAAATATTGATAATGGGAAGACGTAAATGTGAGAAACATTTGCCTTTTCTATACATAGTTTCATGGCAACTGTTCAGATTAACTCTAGGTAGCTAGATTTTATGAACTTTAATTTAAATTAACAACAAGATCTCAACAATTTACAGTTGAGTAGGCTAGATGTAACCGTCAGTTTTATGCTAAGAGCTTTTCTCATACTTCTCACGTATGGAACTCCCTTCTAGCTCCATGCTTTCCAGCCAACTTTAATCATCAAAAAGTTTAATATTATGTCAATCACTATCTACCATCCTCTTGATTACGCTTCTTTTGTTTAAATCAGTCAAAATTGGGACTCTGAACATCTATTCATTTCCGCAATCAAGTTCCAAAGGTTATATATGCTTTTATGATGAAACTGTAAAGGTTCCAAATCTTTACAATTTCATCGTCTTTCTCTTTCTGCTCATTATTAATGTTTCTGTTCCTAATTCTTCCACATCCTGTAACTCATTGTGTCTTAGTAGCTTTATTGCCATACATGGGGTGATACTGATTAAAAAGAAGAAAGATAGATAGATGCTTTTAAATGCAATGTCAATCGCTATCTACTGTCCTCCTAATTATCCTTTCCTCTTCCTGCTCATTATTAATGTTTCTCTTCCTAATTCTTCCACGTCCTGTAACCTCTTGTGTCTTAGTGGCTTTATTGCCTTATATGGGGTGATACTGATTAAAAAGAAGATAGATAGATGCTTATACATGCAATCTCAATCTCTATCTACTGTCCTCCTAATTATCCTTTCCTCTTCCTGCTCATTATTAATGTTTCTGCTCCTAATTCTTCCACACCCTGTAACCCCTTGTGGCTTTACTGTCTTGCATAGGGTGATACTGATTAAAAAAAAAAAAGATAGATGTTTTTACAGTTGAACTGGCTAGATGTAGCCATAAATTCTATGCTAACAGTTTCTTTTCTCACTCTTCTCACTTGTGGAACTCCCTTCTAGCCAGTTTTAATCTTCAAAAATTTCAATGTAATGTCAATTGCTATCTATTGTCCTCCTGATTACTCTATGTTTGTGTTCGCTCCTTAGCAATGTTTCTGTTCCTAATTCTTCCACACCCAGTAATTTCTCATTTTATTCCAGTTAATTTTTATTGATGATAATTATTTTAACCACTGGAGCATTGCAGTTAAAATGGAGCTCAAATATATAGCCATTTATTCTGGTATTCTTTTCTCTTTGATTTTCCTTAACGCTTTTGCTTTGCTACCAAAAAAAAGGTCTTTACTTAGAGGATAAATATTTCTATTATTTGTTTGACGCAACTGGCTTAATTGTTTTTTATTAGGTTGTTCAAAAAATAATGTCCAATTTTAGACTCAGCTGTGATTACTGAATTAATATATTTTAACAATGTTTAAATCAGTCAAAATAGGGACTCTGAACATCTATACATTTCCGTTATCAACTTACAAGGTTATATATGACTTTATGATAAAATTCTAAAGGTTTGGATGCCAAGAAATCTTTGAATGAAATTTCTGCATCTTCTTTGAAACTGAATGTTGTTATTAATGTTTCTGTTCCTAATTCTTCCACACCCTATGACCCCTTGTGTCTTAGTGGCTTTACTGCCTTACATGGAGTTATACCGATTAAAAGAAAGAAAGATAGATAGATAGCTGTTTTTACAGTTGAGCTGGCTAGGTGTAACCGCAAATTCTATGCTAACAGTTTCTTTTCTCACACTTCTCACTTGTGGAACTCCCTTCTGGCTTCAAGCTTTCTAGCCAATTTTAATCTGCAAAAATTTCAATGTAATGTCAATTGCTATCTACTGTCCTCCTGAATACTCTACTTTTGTTCTCGCTCCTAATGAATGTTTCTGCTTCTAATTCTTCCACACCCAGTAACCCCCTTGTATCTTAGTGGCTTTACTGCCTTGCTTGGAACGAACTCAATTAAAACAAGCCAAATTGCTTATTTTATTCCATTTAATTTTTATTACTTTTTAGATGATAAAAACAGTCTGGAGAAGGCTACAGGAATCATTCATCATCCAATACTCTTGATGCAGAATTAATTTCAACTTAGAACAAAGGGTTTGGGGTTTTTAAATCGAGTTGAAATTAGTTCTGTCACTCTTTGGGAGAGGTAGTTAATAAGATGAAGGAGGGGTAAAGTCCAGTGAGGATAACTCCTCACCCAGTAAGAAGAGACAGGAGTGACATCAACTGATCATCATCTAGCAAAATGTAGAAGGGGGTCAAGCTCTGACCATTATCTGGCAAAAAAAAAAAAAAATAATAATAATAATAGGGACTTGGAATGGAAGGATGCTATACCAATGTAACCAGCTTGAAAATATCAAACAAGAAATAAACAGAATATCAATATATGAGGAGGATGTGAAACTAGCAGTCCATATGAGTACGATCCTCATTTTTATTGTCATTCAGGTGATATAGGTTGGAATTTCAAACCAGATCCTTTATTTAGTCCACAGGGTTAGACTGTTTTTCTGGATATCTCAGTTTTGTTATTGCAACTCAACTCTCTGCTGAGGCCATGTATTGAACTCACAACTTTTTGGGTCAAGTCACTTTTGGATTACTTCAACCAACACTTGGTCATTTGTCCTTGCGGACAACAGTATTTGAATTTTCATGTTATAAACCTAATGTCTCAGTAATCATATTTTTTTTTCTTTTACTAGTGCTCATATTACAATTTATTGTTTTTGCTCTAGCTCTCTGTATTACTGCTACCCATATTCTATTCATGTCTATGTTTGGCTGGCTTAGGAGATGTTTGTGGCCTAGCATATGTGCTGATTCCTTCAGTTTTTGTACCTTCCAGTGATATTCTCTATTATTTTAATCTCATCCCACAGGAGGCAGTGATCTCCCTTTTTTTCCATCCATATTGGAGAGTTGGGTTACTAAGATATCCAGAAAAGGCATGGCACTATAACAATCTACTCTTGTGGACTAAAAGGGTTTGGTTCAATATTCCAATGTGTATCACCTGAAGAAGGCCAGAGCATACAATAGCCGAAACATCATGAATATGACAATAAACATGAGGACAATTGTCAGAACAATGCAAATAGTTAAAATGCCTCATCTTAGAAATATAAACAGATACAAGAAAATTTTATTTATAATAAAGATAATACCTAACAGAACATGTTGACTAGTAAATTATTGGAATTTAATGCATTTAAAGCCAAGCAGATTTTTGTGAGGAACGTACACAATATTAAAAAAATATAACAGAAAAGCTTCAAAGAACTTATCATCCAATTGAAAGTTTTGCAGATACTCCACTCATCAGGGTTAGATAAGAAACTATAAAAGGCCTTCAATGCATATACATAGATTTTAAGAAAGTTAAACAAAAGATTCCTGATTCTCAGAGTTAAATTCACCATTATTTTTACTTGTTTTCTTGCAGCGATCATTTCGATGATGACGTCCAGGAAGTGTGGAATTATACCAACAGTGTTGAGCAGTACAATTGCAATGGCGGCACTGGTAAGAAAAGCGTCATTTGGCAAATTGACCAACTGAGTGAGTGGTTGGCCAAATACTAAAAGAAGACAAATTCCACCACCCAGCATGTCTACACTGGCTTTACATGCATTTGATCCTCATAATATCTTCTTTGTCCGTGAGAATCTCTTGTTTATTTTGACTTTTACTGAGAAAAAGTTGAGTCACTGCCAGATGCTATGAAATAAAAGGTGTTTAGAAAAATGAAAATTACTTGGATGTGTTTTTGTTTTTTGCACCAATGTTCAGATAACTTAGTAACCATATTTGACGAAGGAGGAGTGTGTTCAACAAAAAATCGAAAATTGCTTTTTTTCACTGTAATTTATTCAATATCATATCAAAGTATTTTACAAAAAATTAAAGTCAATTATGTTGTTCATGATGACAGTCATCTTTGAGTATAGAATCCAGAGGTTAGCAGTGAATATTTTGAAGACAGTAGGGAAGCGTTGTTCAGGTTAGCAGTGGATATCCCGGTAGCAGAGCGTAGTTCTTCTTTCTGTTCCTCTTCGCCTGACAAGCTGGCACTGGACATTCAGATAGATTAAACAAAATGGCCGCCTTTATACATGACGGATTGAATATTCTATGACATCTGATTGGTTAACCTTCTATTGGTGGACTATAAAGTGAGTCAAGTCATTTGGGTTAACTCACTAGTACATACATATACACAAAAAACTGCAACAAATTACACAATATTTCAAGCTCAATTTAGGTTTATAGTTCGTATAGCCATGCAATGAGATGAAGTAACAAACTGTAGATTTGACTGCGGAATATCATTACATTATTGTTACATAATTATAGTGAAATCATTAAGGTTTTTTTCTCAAAAAGCAATTTATTTTTGGTCGTATATCAATTTAAAATATTCCTTTTTACAGGTTTTATTTCAGAATTTTGCTATTGCCCATTAAAATGACTGAAAGAAAGCGATCTAAAAACAACAATGGAAAAGAGAGGTAACAAAGCGTTAATGAAATAGCTCCAGTTTGTTCAACTTTGGCTGCAATGCTAAGTTTCTTAAGTATTCTAAAATGCTGCCAATAACAGAAGAGAAAATGGAAAAATACCTAACAAAAAATCAAATATAGCATCAAAATTTATATTATTTTTATTTATTTATGTAACTAAATACATAATTGTCAACAATGTTTCCATAAAACTTGATATTTCTTGTAGTATATTTTTACTATTTTACTTAAGTGTAAGGTAATCCTATATTTACAATTCCTTATGGCTAACCATGAAAAGAAATGTTGATCAATACTGCCTAAAATCTTTAAGTGTGTATTGCCACAAAACTATCAAATGTTGAATATGCCCCTCCTCTACCAAACACATCCTATACTCAAGTACAGTGCAAGTTTTGACTAAAAGGGTTTGGACTAAAAGGGTTTGTTTCAAAACTCCAATGTGTATCACCTGTGTATCAATGCGTATCATTTTGATGTCAATTGCTATCTGTTCTCTTACTTGTTTGATTCCATGTCACCCATTCCCAGCCTGGAATCAACTTGTCCGATGTAATCCTTTCCCAGCTTGGAGTCGACTTGTCCAATGTAATCCGTCCTCAGCCTGGAGTCAACTTGTCCGATGTAATCTGTTATCAGCCTGGAGTCAACTCGTCTGATTCATTGTCACCCATTCTCAGCCTGGTGTTGACTCGTCCGATGTAATCTGTTTTTAGCCTGGTGTCGACTCGTCCGATGTAATCTGTTCTCAGTCTGGAGTCGACTCGTCCGATGTAATCCGTTCTCAGTCTGGAGTCGACTCGTCCGATGTAATCCGTTCTCAGCCTGGGGTCAACTCGTCCGATATAATCCGTTCTCAGCCTGGAGGGGACTTGTCCGATGTAATCCGTTCTCAGCCTGGAGTCGACTCATCCGATGTAATCCATTCTCAGCCAGAAGTTGACAAGTTTGATTCATTGTCACCCATTCTCAGCCTGGTGTTGACTCGTCCGATGTAATCTGTTTTTAGCCTGGAGTCGACTCGTGCGATGTAATCCATTCTCAGCCTGATATCAACTTGTCTGATGTAATCCGTACTCTGACTAGAGTCGACTTCTCCGATATAATCAGTTCTCAGCCAGGATTTGACTCATCTGATGTAATCCGTTCTCAGCCTGGAGTTGACTCTTCTGATTCATTGTCACCTATTCTCAGCCTGGTGTTGACTCGTCTGATGTAATCCGTTCTCAGCCTAGAGTTGACTTGTCTGATTCATTGTCACCCATTCTCAGCCTGTTGTTGACTCATCCGATGTAATCTGTTCTCAGCCTGGAGTCGACTCGTCTGATGTAATCTGTTCTCAGCCTGGAGTCGACTCGTCTGATGTAATCTGTTCTCAGCCTGGAGTCGACTCGTCTGATGTAATCTGTTCTCAGCCTGGAGTCGACTCGTCTGATGTAATCTGTTCTCAGCCTGGAGTCGACTGGAGCCTGATGTAATCTGTTCTCAGCCTGGAGTCGACTCGCCTGATGTAATCTGTTCTCAGCCTGGAGTCGACTCGTCTGATGTAATCTGTTCTCAGCCTGAAGTCGACTTGTCCGATGTAATCCGTTCTCAGCCTGGCGTCGACTCATCCGATGTAATCTGTTCTCAGTCTGGACTCGACTCGTATGATTCATTGTCACCCATTCTCAGCCTTGTGTTGACTCATCCAATGTAATCCATTCTCAGCCTTGTGTTGACTCATCCAATGTAATCCATTCTCAGCCTGGAGTCAACTTGTCCGAGGTAATCCATTCTCAGTCTGATATCGACTCGTCCGATGTAATCTGTTCTCAGCCTGGATTCGACTCATATGATTCATTGTCACCCATTCTCAGCCTTGAGTCAACTCGTCTGATGTCATCTGTTTTTAGCCTCGAATTTACTTGTCTGATGTAATCCGTTCTTGGCCTGGAGTCGATGCGTCTGATTCATTGTCACCCAGGAGTCGACTCGTCCAATATAATCTGTTCTTAGCCTGGAGTCAACTCGTCCGATGTAATCCATTCTCAACCTGGAGTCGCCTAGTCTGATGTAATCCATTCTCAGCTTGGAGTTGACTCGTCCGATGTAATCCATTCTTAGCCCGGAGTCCAGTTGTCTGATACATTGTCAACCATTCTCAGCCTGGAGTCAACTTGTCCAATATAATCTGTTCTCAGCCTGGAGTCGATGTGCCTCATGTAATCCATTCTCAGCCTGGAGTCAATCCGTCGGATGTACAGTGTAACCCGGATATAAGAGAGTTGTCGGGACCGGAGAAGAAGTCTCTTATATCCGGGTTTGGTCTATTTTGTTTAGGTAAGTATGGGAACACTTCATATAACGCTTTTTATATACAGAACACTAGTTTATTTAACAGTTATAGACATAAAAAACACAGACAAAAATACATTTTCAATCAGTTTTCAGAATAATTCAATCAAAAATTACTTTTTCTTAAAAAAAGTCAGTCATTTTTGATTGCACAGAAATCTCTTTGTTAACATCATGAACACTTTCATACAGTCCGTAAATCATTTTCAATGCGACATCAGGATTACTGCTTTTTGCTTCAAAGTAGGCTGTCAGAGTTTCAAATGCATTCAATGCAGCCAGAGAATTTGGCACTGGTTTGTCACTTTCAGAAACTTCAGAACTTACACTTTCAGCATCATCATCTTCGTCAAAATCTTGATCATCCGATCCGAGACATGTGATGTCCGTGTCAGTCAGTTCTCCATAACATTGTGTACGGTCATCGAAGCTGATAAATTTGTCAAAATCTGTTTGCTCCATGCCCAATAGTGGAGAAACTTGATCATTTTCGTCGAGTATTTCTTCCACTTCAGCCTGTGATTCAATGACAAAGCTGGCCTTTTTAAAACAATTTTGAATTGTTGACGGTTTGACCATGAAAAGTGCTCGCTTCATCATGTGCATGGCCTTCAAAACAGTTATCTGCTTGGCCACCTCGGACAGCGGCACTGGCGGTGTAGCATCGACGCTGCGATTTGCATTCAATAAGTTCCCGGCGATAATACGCTTTGAATGAACGAATGATGCCTTGGTCCAAAGGTTGAATGAGACTGGTGGTGTTTGGTGGCATGAATGACAATTTGATGTTTGACAGATTTGTACCCGGCAGTAAGTTATGACAAGTTGCATTGTCCAAAAACAGAATAATCATTCGATTTTGAGCAATCATTTTTCGATCAAGCATTTTCATAACGTCAGTAAACAGCTGACTAGTCATCCAGGCTTTACGATTAGCGTAGTAAGAAAACGGTAGAGTTTTGACATTTGTAAAGCAGCGTGGTTTTTGCCGACTTACCAACAACTACAGCTTGCTTTTCACTGCCGTCCATGTTTGTGAACTGAAGCATCATGAGTCTGTCTTTGAGAACGTTTGTCCCATTTGACTGTTCGTCGCTGGCAAATCGCAAAGATCCAGACGGCATGGCTTTGTAGAAAATTCCCGTTTCATCACAGTTCCAAACATCTTTTGGGTCATATCCACGAAAAAGTTGCGGCAAAACGTTTGTCACCCATTCGTTGACAAAACCGTGATCTGCTGACGTTGATTCGCCATGAAATTTTTTGAACAAAACGGTATTGGCCTGCTTCCAGTGCATGAGCCAGCCATTGCTTGGTTCAAAATCAACTTCAAGATTTACGGCCAGTTGTGATGCTTTCTGCCTGATGACATGATTGGTGATGGTAGCTCCATGAGCACATGCTTGTGTAAACCATTGTGTAAGCGCTTTGTTAACGTCCTTGTGCACAGATTGGCGTTTTCTTTTGCGATTAGTGTTTCCGTTCATTTGCATGCAAGATCTGAGATCGTCTTCTTTCTTGAGAATTTTTGCTGCTGTTGAATAACCGATTCCGTACTTTTTGGCTGCAGCGGCCAGTTTGAGTTTCTTCACTTTGACATCGTCGATGAGCTCCAACTGTTCAGAAATGCTACCCTTAGACACACAAAGCAAAATCATAAGGTAGAGGGTGTCTCCTACAGACACAGATTGGACACACCGTGTCTCTAGACTAGTCAAGATTAAGTCATTGAACTTCACTCTCTCTCTAACTGACCTCTGTTTGACCGATTTACGACATCACACTGTCACTCAAAATGAATTCTCTTATATCGGGGAGGACGGGACCAGAGAAAATCTCTGTTATATCCGGGTCTAATTTATATACATTAACACAGGCTCTAATTTGGGACCAGAGAAAATCTCTCTTATATCCGGGTTGCACTGTAATTACTTCTCAGTCTTAGTTTGACGTATCTGATTTGATGTCACCCATTTTTAGTCTGAGTTTGACTTTATACCATTCGTTCTCAGCCTGAGTTCAACTCATCCAATTCAATGTCACCTGTTTTCGGCTTGAAGTCGGCTGATCTCAGATTGAAAATAAAAAAAAGTATAGAATCAGTGATAAATATGGGCAAAGTTGGTTGAATTTCCTTTATATTTTGATACTGAAACAACCGAACCAACATATGGAGATTCTCCTGGCAAGTAACAACTGTCTTACATTCACAAGCGAGGTCTATTAGATTGGATTTTTAGACAAAAGCTATAACTTCTGAGAATTTTTTTTGGTATCACTTTGATTTTAGAATTTCCTTTTAAACTTTGCCAGTATCTTCATCTTGGCCATTATATTCAGTAGCCCTCTTCAGACCTCTGTTATTGCATTCTGTATACACCTTTGATTGGTTATGGCATCAAATATACATCTCTTATAGTCACTGGTGCTAAATATAATGCAGCAAGGAGTAATGTGATGTGGCACGGGTATTTTCATCAGTTTACTATTTTCATCTTTCTCATTTAATGTTGTGTACCTGTCAGGATCAGATTATCAAAGAATTCTTTTTCTTTGTTTTAGTGAGCCTTGATTTTTTTTGATCTGGTGATAGGAAAATTATGGATAGAAAGAATAAACGCTGTTATTAAAAAAAAAAGAACATATCAACTGTTTAATACCATAAAGTCTGCCAAAAGTTACACTCTGGTTGATTTTTATTAATATTCTCAAGGCATTGAGAGTCACTAACAGCAAGGGTAGAAGCTTGTGTCTGTATGTTGGAGAATTTATCATTTTGTAGAGAGGACGAATGTTCTCTCTGGTTGCAACAAAAAACTATGTGATATGAACTGCCCAAGGGACTACAGACTCTTGCTTATCTGTCTATATTTCTGAGATGAGGTATTATGTACACTATTTACATTATTCGGACTATCGTTCTCATCTTTGTTGCCATATTTATTACAACATTTCAGCCATTGTATGCCCCAGCCTTCTTCAGGTGGTTGGAATGTCGAACTGAACCCTTTATTTCACTCACTGGGGCAGACTGTTCTAGTTGCACATGCCATGTTTAATGGATGTCAGTTGTCTCCTGTTAATTCCCCTCTCCATGTTCTCCACTGCCTTAACACAAGGACACATTGCACAGTGGATAAAGGCGTTAGTTAGATCCAGTGACAGGACCCAAAGAGTGTGAGTTCAATACCTGTTTAAGGCAGTGGAGAACTTGGAGAGGGGAATTAACAGGAGATAACTGATAACTTACATCCATTAAAAACATGGCACGTGGAACTAGAACAGTCTAGCCCAGTGAGTGAAATAAAGGACTCAGTTCGACATTCCAACCACCTGAAGAAGGCTGAACTGTACAACGGCCGAAACATGGTGACAAAGATGAAGACAATAGTCCGAATAATGTAAATAGTGTACATAATACCTCATCTCAGAAATATAGATAGATACTGAAGGTCTGAAACATAATAAATATGGCAACAAAGATGAAGACAGGATGTTGAATATTGTCCAAGAAATGGGGGATGATTTTGATACTAAATAACAATACAAAACTTATCCCCTACTTTTTACCATCCCTTCTTTTTATTATTTGTGTATCATTCGAGTTTCTTTTTTGAGAGACCAAATTACAACAGACTAACCTCTTTTCCTTTATCTCTTT